TACTTATATGTACTATTGAAATAGGTATCATGGTGCAGCTGAGGGTTCTGCATCTTAGAGATCACACACCCCTTTAACATTTCTAAAATACCCATGGATATCTTGGCTGAGATCTGGAGTTATACAAAAGCGTACACTTGGTCAACTTACTCCGACGAGTCTTAGGGCATATGTGCCCATCGGATACTAAAGTGCCTTGGCACTGACAGGATATCCATTTGGCTGTCTTATTTTGCTATAGAGACTCAGGTGTCCTAACTGTTTCTCGAGCGTCAAATAAAGCTAGTTTTATGTTATCCTAATTGTTATTGTTTCTAACTGTTCATAGTTTACTTTTATTCTCACTTGTATTTTATTTGTTGATGTTTTGATGTTATTAGGTCCCTCAAGTCTAATCCGTGAATCATTGGTTATTTATCTAAAATTATCCACCGATATCGGTAGTGACCTTTCAATATCGATATTGATCCCTAAGTATCGACATCCACCTATTGGTATCGATACTGACTGACTGAGTTACGCTAATAAGGGGAAAATAATATTGAATCTTAGGAATGGCAAAAAAACCCGAACCCGACGGGGAAAACCGAAAATCGAATTAAATGGGTCGGGTTCGGGATGATAAACGGGGACGAGGACGGGGACGGGGAAAACCCATTTATTTTAAACGGGGACGGGTTTGGTAATCCCCGCCCCGATTACCCAATTACCCGCCCCGATACCCGACCCGATAAATATTAAAAATAATTATTTATATATATATATATAATATTAATAAATTTAATTTAAATAAAATATATATATTTAATTTAAATATATATATATATACCCGGCCCGATTCCCAGCCAATACCGACCCAATACCCGACCCAATACCCGGCCCAATACCCGTTTAAATAACCGTTTATGCTAAACGGGGATACCCGTTTCCCTGCGGTTTTTCCCGATTACCCGATGAGGATCCCCGTTTAAATCCTCACGCGGTTTTTTAAACGGGGACGGGGACGGGGGGACCAATACCAGCCCGAACCCGGCCCGTTGCCATCCCTATCGATTCTCCTAGATGAGTATCGATACTCTAGTATTGGGGTATCGATACTAGACTGAGTATCGATACCTAACTTTGGTTCGATGTTTTAAAAAATAATTCAGTATCGATACCTTTATTGAGGGCTATCGATATGAATGTGACTATTTAAATCGACATAATTAGAATCAATATTGATACCACCCTACGAGTATCGATACCCATTGCATGAGTATTTATACTACTATGCCTAAAACCTCTTATTTTTCACATATGAAGAATAGTGTCGATACATATGCCTAAATACCCTATTTTAGAAACGAAAAATTATAACTTTCCTACCCAAACGCCCTACTGAGGGTCCCAATTGTTTTTAAATTCTTATGAGTACTAAAAAAATCATAATAGGTCTTTTAACAAGCTGAAAGCATAAAAAGATGTAAACTACCATAAACATGCTTCATAACTCATGCAACATACCAAAACTTATCTAATGCTCTACATGTGGTAGAGTTGAGTTAAAAGTGTGTAACCTTTGATTTTTAAGCTACTGGAAGTGTCTAAGGCTTAATCCAAGGTAAGGTTTTTCTTCTTTTTGATCTTGGAGCTTTCTCTAAATTCTCTTACTAAGCGAAAATCAGCATATAGATTACTAACGTTGTTGAGAAGTTTATGAAGGAATTTGGAACATCTCTTAAAGCTTAATTATTTCAAAAATGGGCTAGTTTGCTATGGTTTTCTAACCCCCCACTAAACCCACATTTCAAGAACCATAATGAAATGAAGAGGTTGAGAGCTTGAATTTGAGCTATGAGGATGGAGATTATAATTCTTACCTTTAAATCACCAAACTAGGATTATAAAGCCACCAAGTTATTACCTTTGAAAATTGTAAGAGAATGAAGAATGGGAGCAAGATGAAGAAAGAAGACAAATGTGGAGGAAAAGAGACAAAGCTCTCTTCCACATTGACATCATCCCATATTAAGGGAAATCAATTTTTGAGAAAGTTGATGGGCAAATTGTCATTTTGGTCCCCTAAGTTCTGACTCCATTATAAAGGTTCCCTATTTTTAAACTCATGTTAGGCTCAACTAGGCCCAATTTCACTCCACTTGGGTCATGGTTTTTCTACAAGCTAATGGGTTATACTAAAAACTTATCGAGTTAGCCAGAAATATAACCCCTTAAACCCGATTGGGCCTAAAGTGTCACACTAGGCCACCAAGGCAACCCCAGATTTCAAAACCTGTTCATTTTCTTTTCAAACATTATGAATAATATCATAATAAAACATAAATAACTGTTATAAAAACATTTTTTCAAAACCAGAGCTCCGTGACACATAATTTAAAACCAAAATAATACAACACTAAGTTTAATAAACTGAATACATGATAAAGGTTCTATGAATTTAAATGCTCACTAAAGCTACAATATAGTACTCTGTTGGAGATGCTGGAAGTCATACTGCGACGGTGCTCCACGATCTACTCAAGCCACTAACATGCCAATGGAAAACATCTGAATACTGAGCTTACAAAGCCTAGTAGTATAATCGCTAATCTAAAGCAGTATAAGAATTTCATAAACATAAGCATGTTAAAGACATATTACTAAGCAGTAGGTACATGCATGATCTAGATCAAGTGCTACCCACTTAAGGTTTTACTGATCTATCATTAAAGTAGGGGTCTCACACTTCCCTTAATCCTCTGCTAAGGGCTTCGTCGTGGTTACTCCATTAAAAGGTCTCTAACCCTAATGACTAAACATGTTATGCATTATCTAAATACGATATTGATACTCCTGTGCATTATCTGAATACAAACCGAACTATTATCTTGTCTCACTTAGCCATCAGACACTAGTTAACTGTGGGAACCCCAAAGTTACATAGCATCGGTGTAATTCCCACAAAACATACTAAATTATATCCTGATCCTCACATAGCCATTAAGTAGATCACTAAGGGTAACCTGATGTCACATAGAATTGGTACAATTCTCTCCTAACTGATGTATTTACACGGTCTCACATAGCCTTCAAGCCAAGGTTTAATATATATAACATACTAAACTGAACTGACATAACTACCCATGCATATCTAAGGCCTACAAGACACATAACACTGATATTTCTAACCCACTCCTTGCGAGTTTTTAGACCTCGTACTAGTTGGCCCCTAAAGTACATCGCGTACTGGTAATGCCCCGTTAGGGAAACTAAGCTAACCTAGGTATACCTTAACATAGCTAGACTCATTAAAGTAAAGTTAACGCCACACAAACTACTGTCTCGCTCGTCCTTACATCTAGAACGTTATGCGAAGGCTTATTTATTAACTGTGGAACTGACTAGCCTAATATCTAGCTCGGGTTCATTTTTGAGTAACGGTACTCTAATTGACCTTATCTTGTTTCCCTTCAAAACCTCTTGATTTGAAAAAGATGGCTTACTCTTTTTGAGTTCACTTTTATTTTCGAAGCTTATGTTTTTCGCTACTGCTGAATCTGACATAATCATCGTACCGCTTATCAGATGTCTCTTGTAACGACCCTCAATCCCAACTATCCGTATATGTCCTTGATTGAAGATACTTTGTCATATTATGCTTAATATATTTGGTCATTTATATCCCTCACAAACTAAATCTTACTATCATGGATCGTATGTAGCTCTTACGAGCCTTAAACAACTCAAATATGACCATCTAAATTGAGTAGTATCGATACTCTACTTGCAGTATCGATACCCTAGGGTCAAGTATCGATACCCCTATGAGTATCGATACTCCATCCTGAAACCCCTAATTTTAGCCCCAATTCAACCAGTGTCGATATTGTTCATCTCAGTATCAATACTCAAACCCTAAAATAGTTTATTTAGGCTCAAGAATCACTCAAAAATCATCCCAAATGACTTGGTTTGGTTTCTAAACTTATTTGAAGTTGTTGTTTAAGATCTTAAGGTTTCATATAAATGTGTTATTAACACCTAAAATGTGATTTGGTTGAGAAATCAAAGATAAACCTTAAAATGATCAAATCACCAAATCTTAGCAAAATCTATAAATTTATAAAAACGTAATATTCCAAAGGATTAGAAATATACTACCTTGATGTTTGAACCTCGAAATTGAGCTCCTTGCTTAGTCACACTCTTCTCTTTGATGATTTTGATGGAAACCCCCACTTTTCTTTAGCTAGAATAAACTAATGCTTTGATTCTTTAAAACTATGTTGCAAGGGGGATTAAGAATGAAAATGAAATAAGAAAAGGGTTCAAGACCTTACCTTGAAATTATGGCTACTTAGAGAAGATGAAGGAAGAAGAAAATGAAGAGAAAGAAAAATGATGAGATATAAAACCCTCATCTTTGCAAAAATGGGGAAAATACAAAATTAGTCATTCCTTGTTTTTCTATAATTAAAAATCCTCCTTTTAAGGCTAATTAAGCCCAAATCCAAACACAATTAGACCCAACAACTTTACTTATGAATTTTACGAGGTCCACTTACCTCTCGGATAAACCTGAAACTACTAGCTCGGAATTTGAGGTGTTATACGAACTCCTAACCCCAGGAATTAGGGTGTTACATGATCTCTCAAATGGATACAAATTCAAAATGATCATTAAACTTGTCAAATTATTAAAAATAGTCTTTATCACTATTTTATAACATATAATGGTCATTTTGTAACAATTCGATAAATTTGATAATCGTTTAGTAATTTTTGTAACTTTAGTGACCATAAAAATCATTGCAATATAGTTTAACTACAATTTGTGTAATTTATCCAATAATAAATCAAATATCCTCTAAAATTTTTGGTTTGGGTTTTTTTAATATTTAAAATACAATAATTTATTTTTTAAGTTTTGTTTAAAATAAAATCTTAAAATTACCAGAATATATCGTATGTCATTTAACGAGATTTTTTTTGTGAACAAAAAGGTAAAAAATAGAGGATTAACCTCCTGCTGTCAATGTGTAATCTTCAGCTTCCCGTTGGACAATATCTATGACTTTCAATGGTGGGGTAGAAAAAACAATACGAGCTTCTCCTCTAGTCGCGACAATCTTCGCCAGTCTATCCGCCACCTTGTTTGCATTCCGGCTTATGTGCTTTAAAACAATGTTCCAATCTCTGTTAATCAACTCATTCACGCAGTCAATAAGAGTAAAAATCGATCCTCTCTTAGTGTTCTTCTTTAACATCCGAATAGCCACCAAACTATCCGTCTCCACCATGATTAGCCGCTCTCCTAGATTCCAAGCATGAGAAACACCTTCATGGATACCTCATAACTCCGCTTCAACTATGGAACATATTCCAATCGCTTTTGAAAATCCTAACATCCAACCACTATTTGAAGATCAAAGAACACCTCCACATGATGCAAATCCGCTTCATATGTCAAGGGACCCATCGGTATTAATCTTACACCAATTGTGAGGAGGCGGTTGCCAAGCATCTGGCATAGTACATGAACGGTGAGAAAGCTGAATCATTGATAAAGATGATTACATTGCACGGTTCATTTCAAGAGTGAGGCGTCTGCTCTTCTCTAATACGGACTCATGCTCAAAATAATCTGGATCAAAAATTCTTCCATTCCAATTCTTCCAGGTTAACCAAAGAATTGAACTAAACCGTAAGTCTCAATCATTCTCCTCACGTGCATAAAACCCCGGGGAAGCGAAATTGATTTGCATCCAACTTCTGATATCTCTTATACAAAAATCCTCTAGTTTTTCAGCGTTAACTAATGTTGACCAAATAGTCATAGCCATGTGACATTGGCAAAAAAGATGGTCTCATGATTCTCCCGTCTGTCAACAAATTCCACAATTGCTAGTTGTGTCCATATGTCGTCGTACTCGCTCTGTATTAGTAAGAAGTCGATCATTCGCTAGCAACCATAAAAAAAATTGATCCACTGCAGTCTACGATACTTTGAAATCACCTCCCACACTTTATGCGTAACGTCATTTAAAATTCCCCGCCGGAACTCATAAGTTGATTTAACAGAGAAATTCCGATCAACGCTCAATTTCCAACCAAGAACATCCATTCCACAGCTTTGTCGTGGGGGCATTGTTGCTGCCAGGTGTTGAATAATGGTGATCGACAGTTTATCAACGATGAATTCCCAACGCCATTGACCATTATGATCCACCATAGAAGACACCGACTGCCTTAGAAGGTTATCACGCCCTGCTATATTAACAATAAAGCTCACCAAAGGTCCCAATTCGCAAAGCCAATCCTCCCTCCAAAAATCTACATTACAACCATTACCAATATTCCAAACAAAGCTTTGTCGTACATCATTCCATACTTGAGAAATACCCTTCCAAACATGCGAGCTTCTCATGCGATTAATGGATTCGGGGATCAATTCCACCCATTTATATTTAGAACGTAGCACTCTAGCCCACAATTGATCGGAATTAACCACCAATTTATAAGCTAGTTTCATGAGAAAAGCTTCATTCTGAACACTTAATTTCCGCAGACCCAGGCCACTGTTAACAGTTGGCTTACAAATGTTTTCCCACTAAACAAGAGGTACGCCACCTCTGTTCTCGGTATGACCCCAAATAAATCCCCAAATTAACCGTTTATCTCTTCACATACCCCTTTGGGAAGCATCATTGATTGTATTGAATAAGAATGAATCACCGAAAGTTCTGCTTTCGCCAAGGTAATTCTCCTAGCCAAGGATAACGATTTTTCCTTCCACTCCGTGAGCTTGTCACGGACTCTTGAAACAATATAACTATACGAAGCTTTCGTAATCCGAGAATGTAACAGAGGGACTCCCAAATACTTACTCAAATTTCGAACTTCTTGAAAGCCAAAAGAAGCACTAATGGAATTCTTCAAATCCAAATCCACATTCTTTAAGTAATAAATAGTAGTTTTCTGCATATTTATTTTTTGACCTGAGGAATTGTAAAATAGCTCCAAAATACCCCGTATAACATTACATTGCTCGATAGAAGCCTCAGCAAGAAGTACCAAGTCATCAGCAAAGAAAAGATGGGAGAGAGCATGCACGTTACGACACAAGCGAATAGGTTTCCACCTACCATTGTTTACCGCTCCTGTTATTGTATGCCCTAACCGCTCCATGCACATTACAAACAAGTAAGGTGATAAAGGATCACCTTGATGAAACCCACGTGATGGATTAAAAGATGCAGACATAACACCGTTCCAAAGTACCTGGGTTGAAACTGAAGATACACAGCGCATGATAAGCATCCTAAGCTTGTCCGGAATACGAAGCTCTTTTAACGTATCATCAATGAAAGTCCATTCAAGACGGTCATATTCTTTTTCAAGATCAATTTTGATAGCCATATAACCAATCTTGCCTTTCTTCAATCTCATGGAGTGGACTACCTCTTGCGCAATAATAATATTATCCGTTATCGATCTGTCATGAACAAAACTTGTTTGAGTTTCCGAGATCCAATGACTCAGTAAAGGATTTCGCCGATTCACAATGATCTTTATGATTAGCTTATAAAGGACTGAGCACAAACTAATAGGTCGAAAGTGACTAAACGACTCTGGAGATTTAATTTTTGGGATAAGCACCAAGAGAGTTCGATTGAGTTGATTATCAAAATCACCTCCTGCAAATATGTTCTGAATCATCAGACACACACCATATTGTACTGTAGTCCAATTTTTCTGGTAGAAAAAATGTGAAGCCCATCCACTCCAGGTGCCTTTAGCGGACTTATGCTAAATAACACATCCCGAATTTCTTCCATAAATAACGGTCTCGTAAGGCCACACAAAATCGACTCAGGGGTTGCGGGAAAACAACCCTTAAGCATCGTACATGCATGAAAATATTTTGTATTTTTATCCCCATGGAGGATCCATTTGTTTCTTGATTTTTGAAGCCACAAACTCTCCTCTTGTTGTAGTACATCTTCAAGTTCATTTTTCAGCATGTACTGTAGATCTACCAACCTTCGAGAATAGCGAGAAGTAAGCACTCTTTCAATACCTCGTAAACGGGCCAACAACTCTCTTTTTTTCCTCCCTACGTGGCCAAAAACCTTCAAGTTCCAATCAATAGCTTTGATTTGAAAAGAATTAATGTTGTTTAAAACATCCAATTCATTATTCCAAACCTCCGACAGAAAATTCTTAAATTGATGATGGTCTTGCCATGCAGCAATAAAACGGAAAGGTCGATTCCCCTTAACTCTCATTGTGTTCTGTGCTTTAAGGAGTAGAGGACAATGATCCGAACCCACTCTATCAAGATGCAACACCATAGTACCAGAGAAAACATCTGCCCAACAACTATTCATAAGGCAGCGAAAGATTGCCTCTTTTCCACGTAAACTTCGGCCCTCGATAGTCTACTTCGAATAACTCCAACTCAAACACAAATTCTACAAATAAGTTGCTAACTCCTGAACCACAGCATGATCCTACATCCCTTTCATCGATGTGAAGTATAGAGTTAAAATCATCACCCAAAACCCAAGCTTCATTCACGCCTGGATCAAGATTAATAAGATGCTTCCATACTAACTTGCGTTTCTCCACTTGTGGACTCGCATAAACTACAGTAAAATATAACCATCTATTGATCGCATTGGACCAGCATCTACTGTGAATAAACTGAGGCGAAATAGTTAATATTTCAACATTTAACTCATCTTTCCAAAGGAGCCAAATTCCACCACTAAAACCAAGAGCTTCAACTCTAAAAAAATTCTGAAAATCGAATGTCCGAATAACCTTTTCGGTAGTATTACCACTAATCTGAGTTTCTAGTAACGCAATAATTCAGGGTCGATGTTCTCGATAATTTTCCTGAAGATAACGTCTGAAAGATGGGCTACCAGCGCCCTGAAAATTCCAAAAGAGAATATTAACCATAAAATAAATAAAATTCAAGAGCACACCCTTACTGGGGTAGATTCTGGTTAGCGTTCTCGCCATCCGGTATTATAACCTCCTCTGTTACTGCTTCCAACGCTTCCACTACAGGTCGATTTCCTTCATTTCTTCATTCTCACGCAAGGAAAATGAGCCCTCTCCCTGCATTATACTGCTATCAAGATGTGTGTTGAATTTTGCATTCTGCAACCAATTTTTAAAACCTGTCGAGGAGAGTTTGAAATCTTTATTTTTCTTCTTCACTTTCAGTCCTTTAGAACTATCCTCAACCTTACGTTTATTTCCTTTATTTCGAATGTTTTTGCTTGCGACATGAAGCCGACTATCCTCCAAAATGGTGACCGCCGAATAATTTCTCGCATCTCTAACATTGCGATGTTCCATCACTTGAGGAATAACCCCGTCTTTCATGGATATAACATTAATATATTGTTACGTTTGTATTTCCTAGTTTTTCCTGACCGACCTGGATATCCCAGCCTACTCGCACCAGCCTCCATTGATCCACTGCTTGACCTTACCTTATTCACCTGCTGTAATGTCCGAGTTTCCTTAGTTTTTCCCATCGGACGAGTACCTTTTCCTTCTACGCGTGAGTCTAACCGTGAGGTGTTTGTCATACCTCCCTCCTTGTTAGTTACATCCACTGCGATCTCCGGAAGTACCGTGGAATCTTCAACAATGCCATTATTTTCCTCACCTAAAATTGCAAACTGAGAGCCCCTCGTATCATCACCACTTGTTTTCATATTCGGATCAGGATTTTTCTTCGTACGCCTTCTACACATTTCAGCTATCATCCATGGTCCAAATCCCGACACCTCACCACCTAATCCTTTTTCCAAGTCAAAACTTGAACCACTGGCCTCTCCCCCTTACTAGTGTTTGCTTCAATAGAACCACAAACATCTTTCGAATGCCCATATACTCCACATTGGAAACATATTTATTGTAGTCCTTCATACTCTATCTTTTTCCAGAACCCGTCAATCTTTAGGCATGGAATTAATGGTTTATTAAGGTTCACCAACACCGCCAGACGAGCAAAACGACCCTTTCTCCCAAATTTATACTATAGTCGATCTTCACCACCTGACCAATAACCATAGCAATACGACGAAAAATCACCTTTGAATAATATCTGTAAGGAAGCCCCGGTAATCTAACCCAGACGATTACCTACGATGGATGTTTTTCTGACGTGGTGAAAGTATGACTCCATGGTTGAACCGTAAGATAGAACCCGAAAATCGTCCACGACCCTTCCATCAAGACATGAATATAATCCTGCTCACTCTCAAACTTCACAGTAAATAATCATTCTCTAAATCGATGACTTTGTACTGTCCTTGGAGCTGCCATAATAACCAATCCGATTCAACAACATCTTAAAACCAATGGCACGTCCCAGGAGCCAGACTATCACCGAACGCCTCATGCTATAGTCAATTCTATCATGAACTTGATCAGCGAATTGAATCACAGGATACGGACCATTGTTGTCCACGATACATTCACCATCCAGAACCACCACCTCATCCATAGCCTGAAGCGGAACCACGTCCATCGTCTGCTTCAATTGACTCGTGACTGCACTGGCGTAAGATCGCTTCTCCTGTTGTTAAATTCCTGTCCAATGCTATTCATAGAAGATTGCATCTCCATACCACTCTAAACTTCCTCCATTCGATCATCAATCATCTCTTTATTACGAACTTTTTTAGTAACACGTTGATCCTCATCGGGGAAAGGGGAACCCGGTCTCTCCAAAGATAGAGATGATAGCACTTCAATCCCATGTTGATTTCCAGTGAGGTTGCCACCGATCAGAGGAGGATCCGGGGGAACAAAAACAGCGGCGGTGGATTGCAGTATTCCCGTAAGGGAGGGGCACTGTTTTCGCAAGGGATTTCGCAAGGGTTTTCCATGATAAGAAGTTATTTAACGAGATTTTTAAGTTAGAATCGAGACACCTAAAGTGATAATGTTTGTAGCCTTAGGCACCTGGATTAATCGGAAAAAAATTGAGTATCTATTTGAAAAACGCAAAATAATTTAGACACTTATTTTCTAATTAAGTTATAATTGTTGAGGAATATATGGTTCAAATTTTATCAAAATAAATTTAAAATAAAAGAGGAATAGGAGGGATTTGTGAGTGCCAATGCTTGCTCCTGAAAACGAAAGCATATTTGTTGAGAGGATTATATTTTCAACGCTCTTGACTTAACAAGGATTAGTGTTAAGTCTAACGTGCCAGTCTGAATTAAACCTATAAATATAGGCATGTGCCTTGGTAAATATCAAGATTCGGGGGACTTAAACAACCTTGAATCAAAAAACTAATGATGTGAGATGAATTTACGATGCACGTTACATATCGAAATATACTATTAATATAACATATTAAAATATATATTTAATTAAATTATCTTTATTAAGTAAATATTAAAAAATTTAAGAGTTGTTTAATGAGTAATCCACTGATTTTGTAGGATAATTTTTTAAAAAATAGTTACTAACTATGCTAGAATAATTTTTTAGATATTAAATTTTAAAAGTTATATAATAAATATTGAACTTTATTTTTCTATAAAATAGATACGACAATTTTAAATGTCATTAAAATAGTGATATATTAAATTTATAAAATAATCTCATTTACTCCTCAATTATAAATGAAGTTTCATTTTTGATAATTTTCAACATTTTTAAGTAATAATTCTAAAAAATATTTTTTAAAATTATAGAAATTCATAATTTATTTTTTAAAATTATAAATATTTTTAAAATTATAATTTTATGAATTTGTTAATTCATCAAATTATTTTATAAATACTTTTTTATTTAATTATGATTAAATTTGTAAAATTTATAATTTATAATTTTTGAGATCTAACAATTTCAATTATTAGAAAATAAAATCAGTTTTCCTTGTTAATTAATGTGATTCAATTATTAACCTTTTGTTCAATAAATTTAAATATAATTTTAAAAATGTATTTATATTTTCAAATATAAATTCTAAAATATCAAAAGAGAATTTAGTCACAACTGATGTAGGAAAGAAGATATTTTTATCAATTTAAAATGATATATCATTTTTTAATGATAATTAATAATCGGTGTTTATATTTTAACAAAATTTAAATTTATTGATTCTCTTATAACTTTTAAAATATTAGAATGAGTAAAAATATCCTTTATAATTCTATCCTATTTTAATTTAGTTAATAACATACATTATAATGTATTAATTTGTTTTTGGATAATTTCCTTTTCATTACCCAAGAAAGCAGGAAATCCTGCTATAAGAGAACAGTGTGACACATAAACAACAAATAACATAGCTAGAAACAACAGGAAAGCAAAGACAAAACGACTAGCTCAAATGCCCCAGCTAGCACAGAGGGTAACGTTTCGCTGGTCAACTCTGTTAATAGACCAGTCACTAAGTCGAATACGAATGGAATCACAGATGTCGTTCAGCACATCACCCACCAGTCTGGCTCTCCCTCCAGATGTTGTATACATGCCCAGCAAGTGCCAACTTCAGCAGTTGCACAATGAGAGACTTACCCTTGAGAAGCTGCGAAGCCCAGGCCAGCTCACTGTCCCAATCCCTCACGCAACGAAAAATCCCACATAAAGAGAGAACCCTTCCCCAAATCTCCCTAGCAAAACTGCAACCAAAAAACAAATGGTTACGAGTCTCAGGCTCAGAGCCACAAAATAGACAATTAATATTATCTATACTCAGTCCCATTCGTATAAGTCTGGATCGAGTGGGAAGCCTATCAAGAGCGACCATCCACAGAATGGTGTTATGTTTAGGAACACGACCTGAGAACCAGATTAACTTGTGCCAAGTAACCGTAGGCCCCTGCACACGTAACTCCTCCCATATACGCCTAGTGTTGAGGTTGTAACCGGGGCTAGCAAATAAATGGGAGACCTCAGGCCTCAGTTTGAGGATTTTTTTTGAAGCACCAGCTGGTATTTCGGGGGATACTCATCTGCCAAAAGTCCAAATTTTTAATCACATACGCATGGATCCAAGCCACCACAAGGAGCCTTCATCAGCCAATAGCTTTCTGATTAGGAGCACCATGCAGGCTTTATTCCAGCCTCCTAGATCAAGGATGACCAACCCCCCTTCAGACTTCAGCATACAAATTTATCCCCAATTAACTCGAGCACCATTTGCAGACAAGTCAGCTCCTTTCCAGAAGAAACGAGAGCACAGCTACTCAACTCTCTTAATTATAGCTTGAGGGAGAATCATTTGCCTGCACCAGAAGTTTGCCATACTAAATAGGACAGAACGTATGAGTTGCAGTCTGTCAGCAAAGCTTAGGTGTCTATTTGCCCACGAGTTTAATTTCGCTCGAATCCTATCGATCAGGCATTGAGAGTCCTTGGCTGAAATCTTCCTTGTCACCAAAGGGACTCCCAGATATCTCACTGGAAGAACACCTAATTTAAAGCCAGTAACCTCTTGAATAAGAGCACACATATTAGCAGGCACACCCGCAGCGAACATTTCACACTTGTTTGCATTAAGCTTCAGACCCGATAACAAATAAAAAGTGTCTAAGACAGACTGCACATCCAACACAGAGTCAATATTACCCTTACAGAATATGAGGAGGTTGTCAACAAAGCAAAGATGAGTTAGGTTTATCTTTTTGTACTTAGGATGGAATTGAAAAATCCCCTTCAAAGCAGCTATGTTCAGAAGTTTGGATAATACACTCATAGTTAGAACAAAAAGGTAGGGTGAGAGGGGGTCCCCTTGCCTAACTCCTCTAGCACCCTTGCAGTAACCAACAAGGCTCCCATTAAGCACAATAGAAAAGTAAGGATTAGTGAAGCAAGCACAGATCCAGTCTATGAATTTATTAGGCAAACCCAGAGCATGGAGGATGACATTATGAAATTCCCAGTTAAGTAAGTCAAAGGCCTTTTGGAGGTCAATTTTTAGTGCATACCTTGGGGAATTATTCTTCCTAGCATACCCTCTAACTATCTCCTAAGCAAGGAGTGAATTTATAATGTATTATTTTAATAATATGTTCATGTAAATATTTCGTGAAGCGGAGTATCCTTTTTTAGGGATAGGCATAGGTCTGGTTGATTCAGATTTTTGGTCCACCCGACCTGATCCTAGAACAATGACTCATCCACCGAAATTCGACCCAACTCGCATAATATATACCCTCTACCCGACCCGGCTTCTTGAAATAAAAGTCGAACTCGACCAGACCCTACCCGACCCTACTCAAAATAATAAAAAATATTATTTTTATTCAATAAAAACAGTGATTTAATTGAAAATAATATATAGAGGGTATTATTGTAATTATTCTTAAATATATAAGGTAAAATTATTTTTTCAGGTCGAGTCGGATATTTTTACCCTAAACTCGAACCCGACCCGATCTGAACCGAACACCACCTTTAAAAAAATCTGACTCGACCAGATCAAATCAGATCAAAACTCGTCGGATTCGGGTCTATGCCATCCCTATCCCCTTCCCGAGAAGAAGCGAGTTTCAAGGAGAAGAAATGGAGTGGCTTGGCGTACACGATGGTCGATGAGCACATTTTTACACATGTTGTTTTCATTACACCCATCCATCACCAAACACAATGGTCTTAGAATCAGTTATCCTTTTCACTTGGTAATGGAAAATGCCCCCTCACCAAATATATTTTTGTAAATAATAATATGTATATATATTATTTGGGATAAACTATCTATTTGATCACCCACTTATTACTTCATTTTTATTTTGGTCACCCAATTATTTCTTTTTTTCTAAATCATAATAACATTATATTTTGGTTTTGTTTTAATCACATATCGTTAAAAATGATAATGACAATTATATGTCGCTATAAGATAATGTCATCAATATTAAAATATAAAACATACCACGTCAGCATCACCATTAAAAATAAATAGAGATGATCAAAATAAAAATAAAATATGACGTTAAATATGATTTTAAAAACATAAATACTAATATATTTAATAATAATTTCTAATATATAACTACACAATAATAAAAGCTATATATAATATATAAAAAAAGAAATATATATATATATATATATGAGTGGGAGGGCTTCTCCAATTTTTTGAGGTTAAATTACTTTTTAGGTCTCTCGTACTTTTAAAACTAGAAAATTAAACCTTCATCTTTAAATAGTGTAATTACTCTTAAGGTACTTCTTAGTTTTGAAAATAGAAAATTTATATTATCTAATGGTGATTAAGTAGTTTTTTTAATAAGGCGATTAAGTAGTTTAGTGAATAATTAGAGGTATATTAGTCCATTCAAATATCTCAAAACCGTGTTTATATAATTGGTTACAAATATTAACAACATTGCATTGGACTTGCTTTCAACATGTAAATTTATATTTTAATTTGTCATTTTTAATGTAATATACGAGAATATAAATTTTAATAACTAATTAAATTATATCACGTGATAAAAATACCATATCATCACATATTAAAATTATTAAATTTATATGCTACCTTCGAAAAAAAAGTATCAATTTCAAATATTATAGTATATTATATTAAAAAAATACAAATACGACTTTAAGAAACAATAATATATTTAAATAGTAGAATAAAAATTAAATGTCAAATTAAAAAAATAATGATATTATATTAAAATTAACAAATTTAAATATTAATTCATATATTAAACCGTTATAAGAAAAGATAATTTTTTCTATAAAGAGAAAAAAGATCTGATAAGTTATCACAAGTATAAATAAAATTGAAATAGTAAGTGAATTTTTTAGATTATAATTATAATTATAAATAATATGACCATAAGATTATAATTAGAAATAATTATTATAATTAACAAATAGATTGATAATCCGATTAATAATAAAAATTTATAGAAGATATGAAGATGTTTTTTTTTTTGCTTAGTTTTTTAAATTTATTAGTATTAGAGAACAATTAACAAACTTATAAGTCATAGAATTTAAATTAATTTAATTTAATTTGTATTATTTTAAGTTATAAAGAAAAGAAATAAAAAAGGTGTTAAGTCTGTCTTCACGTCATTTGGTTTGCCATTTGCTGCGGTCTCTCATCTCCTCTCTCAAAATAGAACAAGAAAGCACAGCTTCTTCCTCCTTAAAACTTTCTCTGAAAGCTTTCTCACAAGTGAAAGAGAGTAAGAAACAAGATTGCTTTTGCTTACAGGTCAAAATTTCTAAGTTTCTCTCTTCCAATTCCATGCTATTCTGTTTTGTTAGTGGCGATCATAAGGTCCACCGATTCCGATTGGCGACGATCGGATCGCTGGTTATCCATTTCGGGAATCGCAGGGGGATTCAGCGATTTCCCGATGAAAATGGTCCGTGTGCTTTTAGGTTTTGCTGGAGTGTTAAAAAAGAAAGGAAAATGAAAAAAACAAAACAGAAAAACAAAGGGTCCCTATCTATTATTATTCACCCACCTCTTATCAGCTTATCAAGCTTTATTCTTTTTGAGAGAGAAAAAAGAAATAATAATGCTGTTAATAATTTAGCCCCTCAGATTTCGTTGAACCAGTGGTTGTGATAAGTCTGTTACCATAGTTTAGATGAAGAGAAAATCTCACCTCTTCCTTATGAATTCACCGTAAAAAAACAATTATCTACCCTTTTTCCTTTCAAAACCGCAATCTGAATCCGTTTTTCAAGCCTTTTTCGACAAAATAGAGCAGAGGCTTTTGATTAGATGTTAACCACTTGTTCTTCCAGTTTTGTTTTGAATTTTGCCCTCCCTTTTGGGTTTTTATTATCTTCAATTATTGATAGTTGCTGATGGGTTTTTGAGGAATCATGGGTCTTTATGTGTAATTTTCATCTCTTTGTTATTCTGCCTTGTTTTTTTAATGACATTGTTAAACATGTAATTCTGCTCTGTTTCTCTGTTACGTGATCGGGTGTACTGCGCCTATTTTGGTTATGTGATGGTTTGGATGATCTGGGTTTCTTTAAAAAAAACGTTTTTTTCTTTCTTTTATCATCCCCTGTTTTTTAACGGTGGATGTTGATTTTGCTTGCTTGATTGATTTTTGATCAGGTCAATGATCAATCTGACTTTTTTAATAGAGTTTACGTAAACAGGAGAGTCTCCCCTTCATGGGGAATTCTTTGCTTTTCTGGGTTTTCTTTTAAGCGATGAATATGCTTTTCATGGAGGAATAGTATTCGTCTTTTCAACATTCTCTTCTTTCGGTGCTTCCTCCTTAAATTTCGTTGTTTAAAACTTTTATATCTTTTCATCATCTCCACGAGTTTTTTCGCCACTGTTTTTCTCTCTAGTTTTTGGTGTCCCTGTGCCTGGTCGATTTGGAACATCCAAACTAGTCTATTTTGAGATAAAGATGCTCAAGAGGTTTAAAAAAATACCCTTTGATTTGTGATTTGTGTAATGATCACATAGTTTGTTGTGTAAAATTATTTTTTACCACTTTTGTGATTCAAGGAGTTTATATGAGAACTTTTTTTTCTCTTTTTTGGTTTTTCTATTTGTAGGTATGAGACTTGAAGTCTGCTGATCAATCCATTATTTAAGGTAGAAATTTTTGGCACTTGTAGATTGAACTAATAAGTCAAACATAGGTTTAGTATTTAGGAGGTAGTTTGGATCATTGGAGGGTTTCTTAGTGATTATTGTACCCATGTTTCCTAATTGTCAGCAATTTAGATAATCTGATTTGCCAAGTTTGGGCACCTCGAAAGTTGGGCAGTGCCCATGGATGCCTCAACAAGTGGAACCCCTACCATTCAATACCATAACATACCTGATCAACCAATTACTACTATTGTTGCTGCTCCTGTATCTGCGTTTCTGCGACAAGTACGCCATTGCTTTGGGGACTCCACTCCTGGAGAATTCCCCTTGGCTGCCAATCCTTCCATTGTTCTTCATGTCCTCACCACTTGTAACTTGGATCCTCAAGATCTTGCGAAACTAGAGGCGAGTGAATTTTTTTCTTTAGCCTTTCAAGCATGAAGCTCCTTTCAAATGTTGGAATTGATAATGCTCGCTGATTTTATTTTGTAAACATGTGTTCCAGGCAACATGCTCCTTCTTTAGGCATCCTGCAAACTTTGCTCCCGATTATGAATTGTCCATATCGGAGCTTGCTGCTCTTGACATGTGCCAAAAAAGAGCTATATTTAAGCCAATGACCGATGAAGAACGTCAAACTTTGAAGCAGAGATGTGGGGGATCATGGAAATTGGTCCTGAGGTTTCTGCTTGCTGGGGAAGCATGTTGCAGGAGGGAGAAATCACAGGCAATTGCAGGGCCTGGTCATAGCATTGCTGTGACATTAACAGGGGCAGTCTACTCTTTTGGCTCTAATAGCTCAGGACAATTGGGACATGGCAATACTGAAGAAGACTGGCGGCCTCGGCAAATAAGGTTGCCAAATACTTTGTATCTCTGCATATGGCTGGTGGTTTAAAAGTATTTGCAAAGGGTTAATGGAACTCCATTATTTTGTAGATCTTTGCAAGGCATTCGAATTATCCAAGCTGCTGCTGGGGCTGGCAGAACAATGCTGATTAGTGATGCTGGGAGAGTTTATGCCTTTGGAAAGGATTCCTTTGGCGAAGCAGAATATGGGGTTCAAGGAATTAAACTAGTTATAACTCCCCAACCTGTTGATTCTTTGAAAGACATTTTTGTTGTCCAAGCTGCAATTGGAAACTTTTTCACAGCTGTATTGTCCAGAGAGGGCAGAGTTTACACATTCTCTTGGGGAAAGGATAGCAAACTTGGTCACAAAACTGAGCCAAATGACGTGGAGCCCCAGCCTCTATTAGGAGCACTTGAGAACATACCCGTGGTGCAAATTGCAGCTGGATACTGCTACCTTCTTTGCCTAGCTTGTCAACCGAGTGGCATGTTAGTTCATCTGAACACCTTTTCAAATGGGTCTTTCAATTTATTTTTAGAAAGGCATCCAAACTGTGGTTTTGATGACTTATCATCATAAATCTTTGAGATGATGAATAACTTACCATCTATGTTGTTGTTCCATATGTAGTCATTGTTTGTTTGAATGTTTAATATTTTTTGGTGTGCCCTTCTTTTGTAACATTAGGTCCGTATACTCTGTCGGCTGTGGTTTGGGTGGAAAGCTGGGACATGGCTCAAGAACTGATGAAAAGTACCCTAGACTAATTGAACAATTTCAACTTTTGAACCTTCAGCCAATGGTGGTGGCTGCTGGTGCATGGCATGCTGCTGTTGTGGGTCTTGATGGAAGGGTTTGCACATGGGGATGGGGACGTTATGGGTGTTTAGGTCATGGAAATGAAGAGTGTGAATCAGTTCCCAAGGTTGTAGAGGCATTAAGCAATGTTAAAGCAATTCATGTTGCAACAGGGGACTACACAACCTTTGTCGTGTCGGATGATGGTGATGTATACTCTTTTGGTTGCGGTGAATCTGCTAGCCTCGGACATAATACTGCTTTGGAAGGACAGGTTTGAATTTCCCCTCCCCTTAAACTTTTTGTAGTGATTAACTTCTCTTTTTTGGTATCAAATAGAGGATTTGCAGGATGATTGACCTCAGTTTAAGCCTCAGTCCTGATTAATATTTTATACTTTTTCTTCAGTTTTAATAAAATTATGCATGATGGCTCCTGAATTTTTTAAGGAAAAGCAATGTCATCCATTAAAAGTAGTTTCGAAGTCGCAACGCATTTTCAACATTGTTCCTTGTAAAGTGGTTCATGTGTCTTTGTGAGGGTATATTAGGTTCACCTCGTAAAGAATAATTCCGTGTTCTTATTGTTACGCCATTGATCACTATCTGCTTCATTTTTAACTGGAAATGAACTATACGAGGTCACTCCTTTAGGAGCTTTATTTTTTAGAGTTCACCTATAAGAAAGTTTTAGATTTCAAAAAGTTTGATTTGGTTGAACCACAATACATCTCATATGAACACATCATAATGCTGTTTCCATTGAAGAATGGCCATCGTCTTTGTCAAGAACATATGGTTTGAACCAGACATTTATATTACAATGTTGTACACTTGTACTTGAATATGAGAACAGAAGGGTCCTAGGAATTCATAGAGCTGCCAAAGTAAAATATTTCATCCGGTTAACTGTCGTCTTTGGTGTTTATCCGGCAGGGAAACAGGCATGCCAATGTGTTGAGCCCGGAGCTGGTAACGTCATTAAAGCAAGTGAACGAACGGGTGGTACAGATCAGCCTTACAAACTCGATATTCTGGAATGCTCATACATTTGCACTCACCGAGTCCGGGAAGCTTTATGCATTTGGCGCGGGGGACAAAGGTCAGCTAGGCATAGAGTTAGTTAACAATCAGACAGAAAGGGGAAACCCCGAGCAGGTTGATATCGATCTCAATTAGGAATTCATCGATGGTTTGGCATACACACCATTTCATCCATTCCCTGTTTATTCTGTAAATAGAAACAAACAAAAAGGAATTTGTGAAGATTTAAGTTTAGGTGTAGTAAAGGGTCTAAGCAAATGGCTAAAACGGTAAGAAAAATGGTTAGCACGTAGGCCTTAAGCTGTTAATAGCCGAAACATCTGTGTTAAGGTTCATTTATTACTTATGTTAAAATTGCATTCTTAAAATTTTGTTTATTTCTTTTAGATATTAAAGGCAAACAAACAAGGGTGGGAATGCTCAAAAAGCAGACAACCCTTGAGAAAACAAAACCAAACCCAATAGAAAATGCAATGTCCCTTCCCCAATTCAATCAAATGTTCTCTCCTAAACATGCCACAAGGCTTTAAATTTTTTAAGGTTAACTACGTATCAGTTATGTTCACTTTCCTCATATGATACATTCGTTTTTATTTAATTAAGATATAGTTATCACGGGTTAATTGTCGTTAATAGTTAATAGATTAGGTGATGTGAAATAAAATATTTTGATATAATCACATATTTTATCTTTTTTATTTACATATTTACCCAATCATAGGGTGATACGTGGCATAATTCGATTGGAGGATTAAATTTATTTAAATTTATTAAAAGTATGATTAAATTGAAAGAATATATAAATAAGAGAGACTGAATGCTTAATTATATCAAAATATTTAACTGTCACATCACCTAATTTGTTAATTGTTAATGGCAACTAACCTATAGTGACCACATCTTAATTAAATAAAAATGAAAGTGACCATATATTATATTTTTTAAAATCAATGAAAAAATTGGACAAAATATGAACATAAATAATCAGCCGTAGTTAATTTTTTTTAAAGTCCAATTTGTTTTAAACAATGACCGAGTCTCGAATTTGAGATTTTCACAGTTCCAACCTGGTTTAGCTTTATTACAACCCTAATTTTAATAGTTGGGTTGGGAATATAAATGAATTGTTCGCATAATATTTATTTATATTTGCTTATTAAGTTATATAAATGAGTATAAATAAAAAATTTATATTTATTTAATGAATGAAAAAATACGAATAGAGATGTATTTGATTTGTTTACGTTCACAAATAAACTCGTTTATAAGCATATTTATTGACTTGTTTATAAGTTTGTTTATCTATTTTTTTCTTTTTTATATAAGATATAGATTAAATTGAACACAATATAAATTTTAGAGTTTAAACTATGAAACATAATAAATTAAGAACTAATAGTATAATTTTTTTTTTTTGGCTTACAAGCAAAAAAATAAAAGGAGAGTGTATATTCCCAAGGAAACTTGAACTCATGTCCCTTGGCATTAGTTTAACCACACCCTTGCCACTTTGACTAGGTCTTTTACGAATTCAAATTATTTAATTTTTATTTATTTGTTAAGTTAATATTTTTTAATGTATAAATGAATATATTTACGAATGATAAATGAATATGTTCGCAAAACGAGCACAAATATTTTTAAAAATAAATAAATGAACGTGAACATGATATTAAAAATTTATTGATCATACGAACTGAATAAAAACACTCTTAAAATAAACAAACGAATACGATCATAACTTTATTTTTTCAGTATGATTCATTTACACCCTGACAAGAGTTTTCTCGGTCTTGTTTAAGCACTGCATTGACATTAGCATAATGTGTTTGGCTGTCCCTATATATATATATATATATATATATATATATATCAATATCCAACTTTCTTCCTGCAGAATGAACCTTAAGTCCATAAAATCATGCTGCAAGTTAGACTAATACAATGGTTCATCATCATTATTATTAACCATCAAATTGGGCAATTTGCTTAATGGTATTTGCTAGAAATAAATATTTAGTTTCACTACTCTTATCACATGAGCCAATCATTAGGAGTGAGTTGACTTCCTCCTCTCCATATTATGTATATTGGGAGAATGTTAGGACTAAAATATAATATATAAGTTGATGGTTATTTCAAGTATGATTGTTCGATCTCAGGGATAGATCGAGAGGAGGCGATTGGGATAGTCGTTATTCTCGAAAATTTTAAATTATAATATGTTTTACATATTGTTGTATTTTCTATTAACAATCTATTTTGGTCCTTCTAAAATTTTAAAAGTTTGTTGTTCATCTATCATAAAATTCTACGTTTGTCGTTGCATCACCAACATGAAGAATTAGCATTTCACTTTCTAAAGATGAGAATTATATACAATATGATTGTGTGATTGGCATTCATGACTTAATAAAGTAGAGATGGTTGGTTTTCATCATTTTTAACGACATCCAGTTTTGATTCTGCAATCATTGAACTTGTTACAGAATTTATAAAACTGTGTCATGAGGGCTAAATTGTATGACCATGATCTTTTAACTTGTACATATAGTTGAATGTGAAATGGATCTGGTTTATTGTAATAGCAAACAGGAGGTGTCATTTTCATGGCTAATTTGTAATGGCAAGGGCACATGGCATGTTGTTCACCCCATGTGATGCTTTCCACCCATTTTATTAATTTCATACATACCCTACACTACCTATAGAGTATTGGATTTTATTATTAAATCGTGGAAATTTGCCAAAGATTATTAATATATCCAATGGATTTTAATTATTTGATGTAAATCATGCGTTGTTTTTGGTTAAGGTTTACGTCTATAATTAGAGTATTGGATCATCTTTTTAACAACAAATGGTACATTCTTTTCATATAGGAAAGCTATTATAAATTAGGGTTATGAGCATAACGAAAACGCAGAAAGCTAGTGGGATAATGCTATCATCCTTTGTTTTCATGAATCTGTCTACGTTGTCGATCAAAACTTATGGCTGAGATTAGAATGAATTGCCACGTGTCTTGGATATACATGTCTAAGTGGGACCATGTCTAAGTAGGTTTATGACATGAGCGATTCGGTTTTGCCGCTTTCTTAGAGAAATCATTAGCTGCATGGCATGCAGCGTTGAGTATTAAAACGAAGAGTCAATTTTGATCACATGGGAGGACGTGCCTTTCCCCTTGACAAACGGCGACCATCTCACTGGTTTCACGGTCGGTACGGACTTACGCACGTGCCCACTTCAATCTCCCAAACTACAACACTTTTAAAGCCTACCATTTATATTGTAATATTATAAATATTTATCTTACCTGTTGTTGGGATAATCTACTATCTTACCTTCTCTTATCCTATTACATATGGAATAAGGGTAAGCTAATTATAATTTATTAAAAATAAATTTTTAAATTTATTTTATTTATAATATTAAATTTCAAATCATATATATCATTTAAAAGTAATTATTCATCTACTTTATCAGAGATATAAATCGAATATATTTATCAGAGATATAAATTGAATATATTTATCATAGATATAAATGAAAGCTGTAGCATTTGTTAAGAAACGAAAAGTCTACCGAATGAATTTATGGATGTTTGCCTTTTTAGGTACTAAAATTTAAGGATGGGAGAGCTAGCCAAGTTCATCTATAGATTTAGATCAGATAATTTCAAATTTTTGAGTTTTACACTGAATCAAATTTGAAAATTATTATTTTGCATGTCTCAATTAACACTAAACCCGACTCAACTAATTCAATCTCAGTTCATTTATTCCATTGCGTTGTTTTTTTGTAGCACGTTCCTCTTTGTACGTTTTTCATACGTTTACGTTCGTTTTGGTGTCACATTCGCGATATTTATTTTTAATTGATTTGTCGTTGATCATGTATAATCAGATTTCTTTTTTGATAAATTATCACTTTGTAAAGTATCTCATTCTATATAAATAATAAATTTTTTATGAATGTTATTAACATGAAAGGACACATGATTTTATATTAGTTAACGAACTTCTAAAATTTTAGGAAGAGATAATTTATAAAATTAAAAATATATTTTTAATAAAAATACCTAAATTAAAAATTATAAAATATATGTAATAAAGATGATGGGATGGAGAATCAGGGGAGTTTGTCTTGAGTTTAGAAGGAAGCCAACAAGACTACAAGATCCACAATAATTGTGGATCGGCAGAGTGTCGGTGTGTTTATTTAAATTAATAAATCTCTTAATTTATTTCTAAATTTAAAATTCCTAACCAACAAAACATCCTTAACGTTATTTTAAGATAACGCCTAAGATGAGTACCATGTAATTAGATTTAAATTAAAATAAATCTAAGGGTAAACTATGTATTTAGTACCTAAGCTTTAATATATTTTAGTACCTAAACTTTTAATTTTTCAAAATCATAACTAATGTCTAATTTTCATTTTATTTTAGTGTTCAACCGTAAAATCTCAACGCATATAGTACATAAACTATCAATTTTAATCCTTTTTAAACGCTAAACATTTATTTTTTTTTCCAAAATTTAACTTTAAATTTTGAACGGGATACTTAAATGAAACAAAAATTAAACCTTATGTATGATTTTAATAAAATTGAAAGTTTAGATACTAAACGTATAATTTACTTTAATCTAAAGACAATTCACGCTCAATTTACATGATATAAAAGTTGAATTAGAATCCAGAGTAACATAGATTATAGGTTTAAGTAAACAGGTAAGATGTCAATAACTAAACAAATATTAAGGGACAAAAGATTGGATCTTTCATACACAAGATAAGGTCTCAATATTGATGAACTTTATAATTCTATATTAATGGAGATTAAATATAAGGATTATAAAAGAGAATGATTTGTATTCCCTTTATAAAAACCCCTCCTTTGATCTCAGCTCCTCAGAATTTGTACATTCCCAGAATTTATTAAGCAATAAAAAACAAAGGGTTTAATGGCAATCTCCCTCTTTCTATTGTTCTTCCCTCTCATGGCTCCCACCTTTGTCTTCTCCTTACCAGTTCAAGACCCCGAGCAAGTTGTCCAGCTAGTTAATGAGTACGTTCTGATCTGCTTTAATTTCTTTTATCAATGGCGGCTCCAAAAAGCTAATACATTTTCGTTCATTTTTGCAGGAGCATAAGAAATGCTACCATGGCGAGGAGGAGCTTGGGTTTTCTCACCTGCGGAACCGGCAACCCCATCGACGACTGCTGGCGGTGCGACCCTCATTGGGAAAAAAACCGTCAGAGGCTAGCCGATTGCGCCATCGGGTTCGGCAAGCATGCCATTGGTGGGAGGGACGGTAAAATATACGTAGTGACCGACTCCGGTGACCATGATCCTGTTAACCCTAAACCCGGGACACTTCGATACGCCGTTATCCAAGACGAACCGTTATGGATCATTTTTGCCGGCGACATGACGATCAAGTTGAAGGAAGAGTTGCTTATGAACTCGTTCAAGACCATCGACGGCCGAGGCTCCAACGTCCACATAGCCGGCGGGCCATGCATTACCGTTCAGTACGTGACGAACATCATCATCCACGGGATCAACATTCATGATTGCAAGAGAGGCGGGAATGCTTACGTCAGGGACTCCCCTGGACATTACGGTTGGAGGACAATATCGGACGGTGACGGCGTATCGATATTCGGAGGCAGCCATGTCTGGGTCGATCATTGCTCATTGTCGAATTGCAACGATGGGTTGATCGACGCCATCCACGGTTCGACCGCCATCACCATTTCGAACAATTACATGACACATCATAACAAGGTCATGCTATTGGGGCATAGCGACACTTATAAGCAAGACAAGAACATGCAAGTCACCATCGCCTTTAACCACTTCGGAGAAGGTCTTGTACAAAGAATGCCCAGGCAAGAAAAAATAAAACAAAATTTACCTACAGTCAAAACATTACCCTTAATCTAGTAAATTTTCTTTTACCATTTTACATTGTACATGCAGATGTAGGCACGGTTATTTTCACGTGGTGAACAATGATTACTCACATTGGATAATGTATGCAATTGGTGGCAGTGCTGAACCTACTATCAACAGCCAAGGAAATAGATTTCTTGCACCAAATACTGAAGACAACAAAGAGGTCTAAACAATTAAACACATTGTTTTTTTTTCAAGTTTAAAAGGGTAAGCTTCAAACTAAAATATACGAAATTCAGGTCACAAAACACGAAGATGCACCACAGAGCCAATGGAAGCATTGGAATTGGAGATCGGAAGGGGACTTGATGTTGAACGGAGCATTCTTCACTGCATCCGGAACCGGAGCATCTTCGAGTTACGCCAAGGCATCGAGCTTGGGTGCAAGACCGTCGTCCTTAGTGAGCTCGCTCACTGCGGGTGCCGGTGCACTCGTTTGCAAGAAGGGTTCCCGTTGCTAGTGATATATATGGTAAAGCAATGGTGTACACAAGTGTACGACTGAAATCTTGAACGAATTATATCAGCCTGTTGCTGTAAAAACACCCAACCAGCTAACGGGAACAAGAGCTGAGAAATGTGTTTGATAAATTGTATGTTTTATTTGAATCAATGAAATTAACCATTATCAAGCATTTTTAAGTCTTGTTTATTGAGACGAAGCGGGAAGCTTTGGGGCCTTGAAAAAAATGAATGAATGAATGTTCAGCTTCGACCGACACAAAATTGAGGAGCAACCGATAAAGGTGTGTACTGTACTGTTAAAGCACATGTGACCCGACAATTCCAGTCGCCATAAATGACACTATCTATCCACCATCCCATCCATAAATGAAAATGGAAATGTGAATTATTAATCTATATAAGGATCTTAGAATCGGGTATTACAAAAATTCAAAAGAAAGAAAGCAAAGTGGACCCATTTAGCTATTGAGTTTTGATATAACTGTCATAAAAACTTAAATCGAAACAGGGTTGAATGTTCCTTTTGGCCTTTCTAACAATATATGTAGCAACTACTCTTCCCTGTCTTCGCCGGAACCAAATAAACTTTTTTCTTTAAAAGAAAAGGACTTGCATTAAATGCCAATCTGAAACAAATACTTGGACGGGATGTGAGGGCATCCAATGTTGTGTGCACAAAAAGATACTATTTGTAATGATTTTGTATATGTCATACCATCCGAATTATTTGGAAGTAACTGTAAATCTTGGCTTGCTCGTCCGATCATCTTTCACAATCTCCAAGTCATTAATTATTTGGCTTAGCTCACATCATTCTCAATATGCCAAATAAGCAGCTTCTTGTACGTGTATATGAACAATATAATATAAATAGCATATTACATACAGATGATGTAAACAATTTGCTTCTAGTCCATTAGCTGTAAAATAATGTGAAATATTATGTTAACTAGTTCTTTATTTTTGTAACAAAAACTATGAAATCGAATCTTCAAAACTTTGATCAGTATTACCCGAGATAAATTTAACAGAAAATGTACCTAAACTTTGTAAAATCTCTAAGACCTGAGTAAGCTAAAACATTATAAATGGAATTCAGCTCTTCAGAAGATCTTCCCCCAACTATTCGGCATTCCATCTGATGCGTCAGTGTTGCCAGGGCCCGATGGAAACATATCTAATTGCATCCCTAGGCTGCTGTGAGGACCCTTTTTAACTCTGGATCGAAGAATGAATGAAAGAACTTCCCTTTTGAACTACTGCAATTGAAGACCGGCTGCCATGTTTTGTACCACCTCTTACAATGAAGACATATGAGCACCGAACAAAGCCGGAACCAGGGAATTAACTTGATGTGCAAGATTAAAGTGGGAATAGCAAGTCAGGCACTCGAGCGTTATCAGAGAATGCTTTTTCCAATGATCAGCTGGAAAATTGACATTTTCCTCAATACATGCCCTTAAAAACAGGATTTGTACGGCAAATACTGGCTCCGTATTCCTCGTATTCAGCTTTTGTATGACATGCCTGCACATTGGGGAGGTTAGAAGACATTCAGCCAAGATCCAAAATTTTAGTGTTAAAAAAATAAGATTGATGAATCACACGATGTTTATGGCAAAGCACATCGGGCGATTGACAAAAAAACCAAGCAAGAACAGTGGCAAACCATAAATGCCAAAATCAAGCCATTCAGCAGACAGTAAAGAGAAGAGACTAAGATGAGCTTATGGGTGGAGATTCATACCGCGAAAAATTCAGGTGTTGATGCAAGTACAGAACCTCCAAACCATACCGCAAATCTTTGGATAGGATAACTGACTACATTAACTTCCACGGGTTGTGACTGGAGGTGAAGACCCAAAGCAATTAGCATTTTAAAATCACAGTAGGATGAAAATACAAGCAAAAATATCCATACTTTTATTTCCCCACCAACTCGAGTATCAGACACAAGTAATCGGGCATCTACAATCTTTTTCAGATCTCGCTGCAACCTTCTGTGGAAATCTTTGAACATGGTTGATCCACCAGATAATACTATGTTCTGAAAAATGTTTCAATAGTGAAAAAGAGAGCATTGAAGTATTTATAGGGACACATGACAAAACAAGTGAAAATTCATCCTTTTCTCAATTCATTCATCAGGTTTATGCATTTATCTTCACGTTTTCCTTGCTTCTTGTTAAGTACCAACAATGTAACCATCAGTAGGCACAAGCCATTATCAGCATACTGCAACTAGGCTAAGCATTTTTTTGGGTTAAAAAGGGTAGGAATAACCCAGCTATGACTTTGAATATATATATATTAGCATCAGACCTTGTATGAGAAAACAAAATCTAATCAGCTCATAAATAAAAACACTGGTTCAAGAGTTTAAAGTGAAAATAATCACATATCAAGAACTTCATCCTACAAAAGTTAATTTAAAAAGAGACTGTTCTATCAAGAGGCAAAGTGCATGACTGCCAGGTGAATCCTTTTTTTTTTTTTGATAGAAGTACTGCCAGGTGAATCCTTAACCAGTTCGTCTCAACCTTCATATACGATACTTCATATTGTTTCATTTAGATTTGTCATGGATAAAAGAACCAAAATTTGCAAACTGGTTCTCTTTTCCTAGTGAGAATACCATACTTTACCTTATACAAAGCTCTTCTGGTGTCAATTGGTGCTGACTGAATGCACTTATCTATTACAACTGGTAAGGGAGTCGTAAAATCACTGCTATAAATCTCAGGACTGAAGAAAACCTGTCAAACCAATCAATACAGAAACATCATCAACAAGATTCAAGAAGCAATTTATAAGCAGCAAAGTTAATCTTTTATTTCTCAAACAGCAGTGTATTATTTTTTTTTATAGGAATAGGATGTCTCATTAAAAACCTCCCTCATAGTGGTCCTCTACCCTAAAGCTAGGACCAACTAGCGGAAGGAGGAAAAGAGTGCATCAATTTATTGATAATAAACCAGATACATAAGGCTTAAAAACAGTCTTGCAAACTACATAAAACTTAAAAACAGTCCTGAGGGTACTTTGCTCTTAAGGCTTACAAACCTGCCTAAGCAACGACAAAAATTACCCAATTCCTTCCTTTGCTAACTTATCGGCCTCACAGTTACACCATCTAGGAATCCACCTAACAAAAGCCTGAATAGCAGAAACAATAGACACAATTTCCTTGACAAAGTTTGACAGAAAAGCAGGTGTAAGAGCTTGGTCTTTAATCCAATCCACTGCTATCTTTGAATCGCTTTCAATAATTAGTCTGCCCTTCGAAGCCCATTGTGATGAAACAAATAGATCAATTTCTTTTTTGATAGCCTTCAGCTCTGCTAGGATTGTAGGATAAGGACCGACACTTTCTGAAAAAGAGAAAAGAATATCCCGATTCCAATCTCTGAGAATACCCCCTGTTCCAGCATACATACCAACCGTACTAACAGCCCCATCCACATTCAACTTAAAAAAATCCACTGGAGGAGGACTCCAATAAATCGCCCTCCTATTCATGTCTATGTACTCTGTTAGATTATCAGCCAAAGAAAGGTCAGCAATTAAAGAATCCATCTGAATAGGGATAAGTGGATATTTTGCCAAATACCATTTGGCTAACCTTAACCGAACAGTGAAAAACAATGATAATCTATCCAACTTCTTTTCCTCAAAAATGATCTCATTTCTAATCTTCCATATTGACCAAAAGACTGCCCCCGGAATAAACTTCCACATAACAGATTTAGGATTCACATCAGCCCAAGAACTAAGCAGCGAAGGAGGGTCTGGCGGTAAAACTAACCGAAAACCCAGTACCCTATAATCTTATATCAAAGTTCCCACGAAACTCGACATGAAATGAAAAGATGCTGGATTGATTCATCTTGCAGGTTACAATGAGGGCAGAGAATGTTTTCCCCTAAAGGAACCCCTCTTCTCAACAATTCAACTCTAACAGCAACTTTTTGATGGGACAATTGCCAAATGAAAGATTCTACTCTAGGAGGAACTAAGCCCAACCAAACACAGTTACTCCAAAATAAAGATTCATCATTAAAATTATAAAGAGCTTTCCTGCAATCTTTAACAGAAAACAGCCCCACATTCAACCCATTCCACAACAACCCATCATCCAATGACTCAATAAGTTTAACATTTTTCAGCCTATCCAACAGCTCTATCAGCTGCTCCACCTCCCAATCACAAAGATTCCTCCTAGTCTTCACACACCATTCCCATCCGGTTGAATTCAAACTCCCAAAGTCTGCAACATTACCCGTTTTATTAGTAGAAAGGGCAAAAATTCTTGGAAAAAGAAATTTCGAAGGAAACTCCCCAAGCCATGTATCACACCAAAAGGATATAGATTTCCATTCCCAATTTGTATCTTTGCATGGGATCTAAGACAACCTCCAATGGTATCATCCTTAATGAAGTTATTAACAATTCCCCTCCACATCCAAGAATCATTTTGAGAAATAACCTTGTTAATATCCATAGTCTGACAGCTGACATTGTGTTTACAACATAAGAATTTCTTCAACATCGAATTTTTGTCATTTGCAAATTTCCAAATCCACTTACCCAACAAAGCTCGGTTTGAAACATTCAAATCAACAACACCCAAACCACCACCACTCAATGGTTTGCAAATTTTATCCCAGCTCACCTAGTGAATTTTCTTCTTTCCATCCCCTCCACCCCATAAAAAAATCGACATCATGGAATTTAACCGGTGAGAAATAGTAGAAGGCATCTTAAAAATGGATAGGTAAAAAATAGGTAGGGAAGATAAAACCGAGTTAATAAGTACTAACCTACCGGCCATAGATAGAGAATTAGCTTTCCAGCCTGCCAATTTCTTGCTGAAATTATCAATGACCGGTTCCCAAAGCTTTGCGGAGTTCTTCTTCTCCCCTAAAGGTAGACCTAAGTAAACAGTCGGGAATGAATCAACAGAGCAGCCAATATCCCTAGCCCAAACATCAAGGATGTCACTCTCCACATTAATCCCATACAGCTTGCTTTTTGCTAAATTCAGTTGGAGCCCCGTCAATAAACCGAAAATCCTCAAAACTCTTCTAACATTCTTTATCTGAGTAATTGAATCTCGACAAAAAATAATTAAATCATCTGCAAACTGCAGTGTATTATCAAAAACATAGGTGCAACCTCAAAGAAGAAAAATGCCAAAACCATGCATTTAAGAAATATAACTGGCACAGAGAAGTGAAGAAAATATTTAGACAAGGAAATATTTTGTCCTAGTTGATCTACACCAACTTATTGTCAGCAAGATCACAGCTAGGACATAATTATATGCTCATATACGAAGAAAGATTTTTAGTATAAGCAGGTCAGAGAAAAGAGTAGGAGGATTCTGCTTTTTGACAAATAAGAGTTGACCAGAAATGATAGAAGGCAACCAAAGTCTCAAGAGAGGACATAGCTTAAATATTGAAAATAAGGAAAACGATGCTCAAACATCTCATTATTAATCCTAATGAATAGGAAAATCATTGCTTGTGTGCTACTGTTATACGATTGATATATTTATAAGTGTGCACGAGGGTATTGTGTAATATATTCATATTATTTGGAGAAATCTTCATAAAGCAGCCAAGAGTTTAATAACTTGAAAGAGTTAGCTAATCGGTGCTTAAGTTGATCCACAAGAACATGTTAATCTAGCAGAGTTATCCTACACTAACCCCAATCCCAAATATACTTATTAAACCTGGAGAAAAGCCAAAAGTTCGTGTAATCTTAGACTTAAGGAATGAGTTTGAAAAAAAAAAAAGAGGACAAACCTCAGGGCCTAAAAATCTTTCATAACCAATGTCACAGGAATACGGTGCCCCAGTCTTCGGTCTAATACTTCTCCAATGTTTGATATACTTTCCAGGCTCTTTGTCATGCTTGTTGAACTCCTAAATGGTCATTATCAAATTATCATTGGAACGTCAGAACATGAGAACTTCATTACAGTATCTCATGACATGTAATAATCATGAGGTGATGACTCATGCCAAAATGTTTTACAAAACCACAAACCAGTGAAATATAATATGACCTTGACTACATCAGAACATGTATAGCAGTACATTTCCTTCACTTTTCGAGCTGCTTCAAATGAGTCCTCCGGTGGAATTTTCTCTCCTCTTTCCTGCAAAAGATGGTGTCAAAAGGCAAGAATTCAAGAATAATGCATAAAGATTATTTTACCATATCCATAATCATAAATCAAAGCTGCACATGACATGTACAAGATAACAACTACAAGAAGAGAAACAATTTAAGTCTAGCACCTTTGAGCTTTTGATGAAAGCAATCTCAGGCAAGGTAATAAAAACAAGAGAGGTAAAAGAAAGACACGTTAATTTGAAGAGCTACCTGAGAACAGCTCTTATCGTCAACTTAAATCTAGCATTTCTTCAATGAAGATAAAATTTAAAACGTCACTCAGTTTCCTCTAAAAATAATATACCACACAACCCAAATGGTCATTGGAAGAACGCATGATAGTTATACAGTCACAACTTAGACTGTGTATGTGAAAGTATAGTACTTAGAACAGAAGTAGATAACTTCATAAGCATATTAATCCAGTCATATATAAGGCTGAATGACACTGAGACGAGTAGATAAGTTTCTCATCAGGACATATAAATAACTAGAAGTCTAGAAATACTAGAAATCTTGAATAAATAGTAAATGGATATCAAGCTTTCTAATATCAAGAAGCAGAAACTACTTTTATGTTAATGGGTAGGGATTCGAGGAAAAACAAGTACCTGCATAAGCTGTTGTATGAAGAGTGTAACATCTTTTCCAGCTATTGGAATTGACTTAATGCTGCTCCCAATAACATAACCATCAGCAACAGGTACAATATGCGTAGTCCCATCTCCAACATCCACTACCACTCCTGTCATCTCACACTAAGAAAATTGTATGTCAATCTAAATGGAAGCAAACACTATATATGGATAATTAGCAAGACAATAAATGCATGTAATGTAGGATATACAGCTAAGTACAATATATACCGGTTCTTTAAACTCAACTCTATGAAGTATCCAAAATACCCCATGGCTTATACCCATATGCTTAGCAATAGGCATACGCACTGATTTCTCAATTACTAAATGGCTTTAAATCAATTAGTTGACTACTGAATAGCTGACCATTCTAAAACCAGCATTCATACACAGAGACAGTTAAAAAGTTTAGTTTAATACAATTAATAATAACAATCATGGATAGTCAAAGGACCCAACCGATTCAACTAACAAGCTAGTAAATAACTAACCAAAACAGAGAACAAAAGAAACACAAACAATTCAGGAAATGAGTCACCAACCTTAGAGGTAGTGTACCCAGCTAAAGCAAGCACAGAATTCACAGCAATATAAAGCCCCGGAACATTAAACGTCTCAAACATAATTTCGCCTGTATATTCTCGATTCTCAGGAGCAGTAAGAGGACTCTCGGTCAACAAAAAGTAATGATCCTCAGGATCACACCGTAAATAATTGAATATACATTGCTGCCAATACCGTTCCATAGCATCCCAGTTATAAACTTGACTGTGTTTAATAGGATAGTTTAGGTTATAAGTGTTACTCGATCTTGATTTCATCAGCGCTTCATCTCCAATGAAGAAATCAAGATCCGCCATTACCCCAGCTGAATACTGACTTGACCAATTTGACTTGGAAGAAGTTCTGGATTGATTGAGAAAAGACTCGTTAACTGCTACTACTGTTGGCTGAATAAAACACGGCTCTACATTGCCCGCGAATCCCATTTTAGTATATCTGCCAAAAAGGACCAATTCGAGAAAACAAAATGAAACAGGGGAATTTCTTCAAACAGATTGTGAGTAATGAATATACAGCTACTATAAGTCAGAAAAGGGGGGAAAATAAACCTACCCAGTTCCGTTGTCAATGACGACAGCAGGGCTATAAGTTGGGTCCATCGAGAATCAAAACAAAAGCTTAAGAGTTGTTGCTTGTTGGTGTTGTAGTGGATCTGCGAGCGAGATCCGAGAGAGAATTTTGGGCAAGAGATCATGGTCATGAACCGCGCTTGAAGAAGCGCAAATAAGGAGAAGACGCCTCCCCCGCCCCCCGATGGCACTGTTGGTGGATAACGATAACAATAAACTTTGATCCCAACCAAAAAAGGCAAGCGACGTTTCAACAGTATGCTTCTTCACACAATAGTTGTTCGTCAGTGATATCCCAAACTATGGGGAATCAGGAAAACTAGGCATTAAAATTTTCCAATCTTTATCATCAAAACACCAAATCCCCTCTCTTTTTTCTTTCTCCTTCTGCTTCTCTTGATTGGTACTTCTCTTAGCAATCAAACAGTAGAGAGCAAGACAACGAACCAATCTTCCATCCTTCTTTTAATGGTAAATTACGAATTTACCACTCAACTTTTTTCACTCCTATTTTAATCATTACAATTTTAAAAAAAATTAACTTGATCGTTGAACTTTTATTCTATTATCGTTTTAATCGCTTGATCGTTTATTCTATAATAATAATAATAAGGGTAAACTACACATATAGTACCTAAACTATAGTTTTGATCCGTTTTAATATTTAAACTTTCATTTTTTAAAATTATACCTGATGTTTAGTTTTTATTTCATTTTAGTACACACCGTTAAAAACTCAACATGCTTAAACTATAAGTTTTGGCCCATTTTAGTACATAAACTTTCAATTGTTTTCAAAACTTAACTATACGTAAATTCAGAAAATTACGTGAACCATGGTGAGCAATTAGCTTGTGGACTTCGTTGAGCAATCAAGGTAATCTTGTTATGTATGAGCTTTGGCACATAAGGTAATGGTTATGGAAACTGAGTTGGTGCACTTTTGAACTTGATAAATGAAGAATGGATTCAGTGAAACATAATAAATTATAACGTTACTATTTGACGCCTTGTTTTGCTATTCTTTATTCATTAAAAGGGTCATTGCTGCTTATTTGGTACTATTGAGAATTTGTAAATAAAGTGACCTTTATGTAGAATAATATATATATATATATATATATTAACTTACAATAAAATAATCTCTTTTTACCTCAATCTCAAAGTTTAAACCCTAAAACTATTACCATAAACTCCAATCTCCAAATCCTTGACTATAAAGTCTAAACCCAAGATAAATATCATAAACCCTAAATTTAAACCCTGAATATTAAACTCTAAAATCTAAAATGAAAAAAAATATTATTTTACTGTAGTTAAAGAAATATTTATTTATGCGTTATAATTTTAATTAGATTTAAGTCATTTATTTATTTAAACTTAATGCTATAAATCGGTGTAAAGCTTATTAATTTTACATAGCGTAAGTAGATATATATATGAGTTAAAGAAATGTTTGTTTATGAGTTATAAATATTAATTAAATCTAAGTCATTTATTATTTAAATCTAATGGCTATCAAAATATGTAAAACAATAATTTTTCTTGTTAGGGTTAGAATTTAGAATTTGGGGTTTAAGATTTAACTTTAAAGTTTAGGGTTTAAGTTTAGGATTTAAAGTTTAAGATCTAGAATTTTAGGATTTGGTGTATACGATAAGGGTTTCGGGTTTGAGATTTTGAAGATTAAGATTTAGGATTCGGATTGAGGTAAAAAGAGAATTTTTTTTTACTGTGAGTTAAAAGATGTTTATTTACGAGTATAAATTTTAATTAAATCTAAGATATTTATTTATTTAAATGCAATATCTATAAATTAGTGTAAAATTTATTAGTTTTATATAGTATAACTGGGTCATGTCCCTATGTGTGTGTGTATATATATATATATATGGGGTAAGATTCATTTATACTCAATGTAAAATATTTTTAGGACCATTGAATGAGATAAATCAAAATCAAATGCTGAAATTAATAATAGGAAATAGAATATATTCACGTAAAACTAAAAATTTTAGACTTTTTAGAATCATTTATTTTAATTCAATTTTATCTACTTTTAAGAATAAGAGAACACAAAATTAATTTGAATTTAAAAATTACAAAGAGAAAAAAACAATAATATATTCTTAAAAAGTTTTAATGTATCTTAAAATAATTTTTTTCTTTCTCTATTAAATTCATCTTTTAATATAGACTTTAATAATAGTAGAGTCACAAGAGAGATTATATATTTTTTAAAATAATTATATATAATAATTTTAAATGTTAAGACTTACTCATAAGAATTTGTATATAAATAAATTTAATCATCGAATAATCTTCAATTACTTTGAATTTTATATAAGCCAAATATTAGTTCGTTGAAGTACTGTCATCAGACTTTTAATAATTTCAATTCTTACTAAATATTTATTGAAACATTATTGGGACGATTAAGACTTACTTCCATTGCAATTAAAAAATCTCGTTGTAGTATCATTTGTTAGAAATTTGAAAGTAGAAAAATTAAAATGAATTAATATAAAATAAGAAATACGTAAGACACGAGAAAAAAATGAAATTTAATGTGATTCGGCCTTACCTACTTCACGTATAAAAAACATAAATTTATTATAAATGCAAGCATTATAAAAATATAAATACATAAAATTTTATATATTCTTTTTTTATTAAGCTAAGGTGATTATAAAATAGTATATGTTTAAATACTCTCAATCGTTTGATAATGCATGCTCAATCACTTTTGCTGTAGTTGTTGGTGTTTGAACCCATGACATATAAGAATAATAATTATTCCTTTAATCAATGACGTAATTCGGTCGTGAATTTTTTATATATATTCTTAATTAGATATATGCTAAGAATATGGTGTCTATTTCATGGTTTTATATTAAAGTATAACGGATGGGTGTTCGATTCCATTTGGAGTGTTTGAAAACAAATTAAGTATCACAAATCTGGAATTTTTTAAATCAAATTTTAAATATAAAAAAGTCATGAAGTTAGCTAATTTAGTCTAGGTAATTTTAAATTTAATTTAAAATGGATTTAAAAAATAAAAACAAATTAAACTCAAATTATAAATGGAATTTAATTCCTTAAACTTGACTTCACCCTAGGGATGGGTATGAGATCCGAACCCGACGGGTTTCGACCCGATCGGGTCAGATTTTTTTAAAAAATTCAGATTCGGATCGGATTAGGTCGGGTTCGAGTTTAGGGTGAAAAATAATCGATCCGGCCCGAATATATATAATTTTATCTTAAATATTTAAGAATAATTACAATAATACCCCTTTATATATTATTTTTCCCAATTAAGTGACTATTTTTTATTGAATAAAAAATAATTTTGTATTATTTCAGGTCGGGTCGGGTTTTTAAGTTATATATCAAATCGGGTGAAAACTTGTATTGATCAAGTCAGGTCAGGTTTCGGGTGGAGGACTTCTTATTCTCGGATGGGATCGAATGGACAAAATACCGGACTCATACCCATCCCTATTCACCCCTATAAATTTTCTTATAAACCATAATAAATTGTTTTTTTTCCTTCAGAAAACAAGTAGAATCCAAAGTTAATGATGATGAACTCCTTTATTAATAAAAAAATGTGACAAGGCCACATCTTGGCACTTTGATCAGATGCCAAGGCACGTGACACGTGTTTGGCCACCTTGGCTCATGTGGGTCGCAAACTAGTCGGTGATTGGTTGATATTATTTTTTGCTTAGAAAAAGAAAACATAAGACATATCCCATCATGCTTCAGGTTCTGCTTCGGGACCCATCATCTCTTTACGCCGCCTTCAGTTTCTCTCTCTCAGTTTTATATGATTACAACCTACTATATAAAATTTATTACTACTAGAATAATTAATTAACAACTTTTTGGATATAAAATAGTAAAATTAGCCTAACAATTCAGACAGAATAATTATTTAAATTTATATGATGGTTTAAATTTTAATTAATCATTTATGATAATTGTTAAGGTAAAGTATATAAATAGTTCTCAAATTTTTAGAGTGTTTGCATTTTGATCACTCAATTTTAGAAACTTGCAGATAGAGTTTTAGGATCGACGGTAGTCTCTTGGTTCCGTGTAAGTACGCAGACCCATCCAGTATCTGCCAACTGTTTCTGTAGATCAGGTCGCTTGCAAACCATCAAGGCCTTGAAACATATCACTAGGACCATCAACATCGTTAACAATAAACTGGGTAGTACCATTTATTACTTGAGAACAATGACTGTTTAAGGGACTGAGGGAAGAAGCCGATAGAAGTATGTTCATGGAACTCTCATATGGATGCTCTTGAGCAAAGGAAACATCGGGAGCATATCGAAAATTCATGGGGTTGGTGGTGGATTGTGGATGAGCATCGGAGAATCTTTCGCCTAGTTTGACAAGAAAATTCCTAATGGAATGTCTGGGATCTTGGTGCGTGGTTGGCAGGGCATGACTGGTGGTGATGGTGGTAGTGGTCAGTTTGACGCTTGGTTCACCATTCGAGGAACCGAATAATTCTCACACTCTCTCTTCATTTCATGCTTAAAGGTAAGGCAGGTGGCTCTCCGAGATAATCATATAAATTAGAGCGTAATTCTTAAGAAGAAGAAAAAAAACCCAAGTATAGTAATCATATAGTTACCTAATTCCAATGCTCATGTAAAGGCTACAAATGATATTATCTTATTCTTCTGAAAATACTCCATGATTATATTGCGAGTTTCAAAAGTTCAGTGACTAAAATACAAATATTTTAAAAAGTTTGAGGCTATTTACATAATTTACCCTAATTGTTATAATGATTTAGAATTTGTCAAACTAGATGACAATTCACTCATAAAAATTCTAATAAAAATTTATACTTTTTTAAACTCATCATTCTAATGTGATAAAATTTAATAATTTTCTTTTAAATTCATCACATCGATGACAAGTCTATCTTCTACTGTAATAAATGTTATAGATCTTAAAATAAATTTTGAACTGTATTATTAGAGTTAATAGTTTACTCACCTGAATTATTGTCTTGACTTTATCGAGAAATAGATTATTATTTGAAATATATATTAGGTAGATTTTATTATTTAATATACATATGGTGTATATATTTATATATTATGTTTTAAATTTAATTATTTAAAAACAAGAATTTATTGAATGGTTTTAGTTATAAAAAAAGAGTATTATTATCTTTAGGAATCTCGGATTTAAACAATTATATTTGTCAAATTTGTATGCGCATTATTGATTGCTAAGAAAAATTACGAACATGTATCACCTTTTAATCACATCAAACTATTCAAAAAATTATTTAAAAATA